GTCGATGGCACCTACCGGGGAGAGAGAGGGGATTAAACAAGGCCGAGACCTGTGACCGCGGTGACCGGCGCAGGGGCAGCCTCCGCCGAGAGCAGCGAGAGCAGCGGCTCACGGGGCACCCCCGGGGCGGCTGCACCCAGGGCAGGGAAAACCTCCTCCAGGAGGAGGGGCTGCTCTTAAAGGATGAACTTTAGACAAAATTGAAAGAGAAGCTGTTGGAATTTCAAGATTTTGGGAGAGAGCACTGCATCTCTCCGCTTAAATATCACTGTCTTCAAAGGCAAAATTTATCTATTTGCCAGAGATATTATCGTAGCACATTTGAGTGCATGAAGTAGTTCACAAAAGTGTAGTTGACATAATATTCAGTGAAATTATGAAGATGTGAGAGTGAACAAGGACAGAACAAGAACAGAAAAAGTAAAAGATATCATATGGCAAACATGCTTAGTAAGAGCAAACTGAGCACAGCACCTGGGGAGCATGTTTGTTTGGGTGACAGAAGAAATGAGTAGAGGTCAAAAAAGGCAGAGAGCAAGGCAAATACGGTGGATTTCTTTTTTGGTAGTTTTCAAATGATGAAAAAAAAATCAGTGGGACAGTTGAAAAGGATGAATCTGTTGCAACCATGTGCATAGTAACAGAACCAAAAGCTGCCAGCATCTGTGCGCTCATTGAGGTTACAGACACCATAGTGATTTCAGAATGAAAGTAACAGCAGAGCAACTGCACTACTAAAAAAAGGAGAATTTTATATTCATGAGCAAAAGAAAGTATCAAGTGGGTCATAATCCATGTGAGAAATTCAAGTCTGTTAATAGTTATTATATTTGGTACCTCAAACACACAGGGACCTACACGATGCAGTTAGGAATGAAGCAGCTCTGAGGTAGTTCCTGGGGGCTGCTGCGTTTTACAGGCACAGGAGCCATGTAATGAATCTGAGTTGGTGTCTGACAAAGGGGCATCAATATCAAGCTCTTAAATACCAAATGATCATTTTACATTTACAAACCAATAGAAAAATCAGGATCAGCTAGAAAATAAAGTATTCCCTTATACCCATTTTTTGGCAGATGCTCAGGCAGGTTGGATGGAGGCTGTTTTACCTGGCACAGGCCCCCTGCCAACATCCCTCAGCCCAGGGCTTCACCCCCTTGGCTAACGCAGCGGCTACGCAGCGGCACATCCGCCTCCTGGGACCATCAGGGAGCGTTCAGCGTTCAAAGTGTCACAGGCAGAAGAGTGAATAGCTGATCAGACAGGAATTACGGTGTCTTTTCCTATTACCCTCCTGCAAACCTGCTCTAAAATACCATGTTGACATTCACCACAAAACTTGCATCAGCTACGGCCCGTCACGTCCGTTCCAAGCAGTTTGAGGCAGCTGTTCCGCTACCAGCAGTACATCAGTATTTGCTCTTTAGCCGATGGGATTGCTTGGCATGTACCTAGGAGAGCAGGTCTCCTCCGGAGCTCGGTCAGCCTGCGCCGCCGCTACTCGTTCCCGCCCTGCAGCTCATCCACGTTGGGGCTGGAGCTCGAGCACAGGGAGAAGCCGTCGGGCTGCGGCACCGGCGTTGGGCCTGATGGGACCCGCTCCTGCAGGGCGGGCACAGGCCCGCATTAAATACAGCGCTTTTTAAGGAGGCACCCAGTCCGCGCGCACCCGCTGCCCGGCCGCATCCGGTGTGGCCCAGCTTGGGCACGTGCGTACCACGGTCTCCAAGGCTTTCATCTTCATTCGCCTCCTCTCCCTTGCAGATGGTGGAAGCTGTGATGATAAGTCAACTTCTAAGGCAGGAAACGTTTCCCCATTAGCACCTGGAAGAGCAGAGGTGAACACATTCTCGACAAAACCAAAGCACTGGGCAGTGCTCAGCCCTGGCTCAGCAGAGACGAGCGAGGCCGACGTGGGCACGGCGACAAGGACACGTCTCGCACCAAGCCGTGACACCCGACGCACCCCGGGGATCGTCCTGGGCTCAACCAGAACCACAGGAAGGAGCATCGTCCCCAGGGGTCAGCACTGCCAACGCGGCAGCCTGGTGCCTGTCTCACTGCCCTCTGCTTCTGCCTGCGCCTTTCCTGAAAGCAGGGGGGCTCCACGCAGCACAGCACGAGGCAAACGGCAGGCAGAAAGGTAAAAGCATTTAAATGCAATGCCTATGTAAATGAATTACATGGCTTATAGGATAATGTAATCAACCCCTTGATCATGGCAGCCTTTTTATGTAATCAGCCGTTGGAAGCTGCTCCTATCACCACCGCCATCACCTTACCATATTACAGGGAGAGACTTGGTCTATTTTTATATTGTGGCCCCTGAGGGCATGTCTCTGTTTCATGGTTATCTTGTTTTCTCTACTGGCCCCATTCTTTGCCAATTCAGGAAGCTACTTTGAATCCAGACTGTTTCAAACGGATACAGTTTTTCCCCCTATTTTCTTTTTTAAATCTCCAGGAGCAGTAGCTGCTGTTTGAGGGCTGGTTTATGGCTTTGCTTATGTGTGTATGTAGATACAAGTGTGTATGTACATGCACACACACACACACAGAATATATATACAGAGAGAGAGAGCTCAATACTAAACAGATCTGCAACACTGCTATGAGATTATTTGGTGTGCTAAGGGACATAGTGCGACATTAAAATAAAACTGCAACTGTAGTAATAGTAGGTTTTTCATTTTCTGGCAAGTCCTAAAAGCTGTAGTGGTACTTTTATATTAGTTTCATGAGTTCCAGAGATCTTCCAATTAAATTTGAAACAATTATTTTTATTGAAAATCAAAATACTTTAGTTTGAAAAATAAGTTTAATTTATACTGATCAAAGATTTTTGGAGAAACTGATGAATTAGGTTTTTCTGTATTACTATTTTCATCCCCAGAGAGAAGTCCTAGCCCTCAGGAGCAGCATCCCTGGTTTCAGGGGTGGGCTACACAATATCTTCTCCAGCAAAACTCCTCAAAGATCTGCCTTTTAACATGCAGGCATAATTTTCTAATACTTTGAAAATGACAATGGCTACCCCCCATCACAACTCTTAGGACAGTAATAAGCAGACAGCTTAGAGTAACATTATTATATTAGATCTTTGTACATGCATCAAAACACAGCTAAAGAAAACTATAAACTCACCGATGAAAGCACTATCAGATTCCAACAGTGAATTTTTCAAGAATTCATTAGATTCGTTCCTGAACTACAAAAGTGAAAACAGAAGACATGCAAGCCAAGATACCTCAATATCTTTTGGGAGCCAAGTTATAAATAACATAAATCTACATTTCTAGAAAGCAAGCAGCAACTGCAGAGTTGCTCTGTACTATTCTTTACTTGGTTGTGAAAAGAAACTATACATTTTTAGATATTTCAGGTTCTTTTCAACTTTTTCCCCACCCCTCCCCTTTATCCACAATAATCCTTTTTGCTGAAACTGACGCCCTAAGTGACACCCGCTGAGGTGACTCGTGTGGCACCAGGAAAGGCTCCTCCGTCACCACTTAGTGACTCTGCTTGAGCTGTGGCACAACAGTCTGGAGGTACCAAATACTGATCAAATGAACAATGATTCCACAAATTTTGTTAATCCTACCACATACAATCTTTCATATTAATGCATTAAAACAAAAATTTCTACGCAGTAATAACAGCTCTTGGAGTTAAGCTTGCAGCTCATGGCAAACATGGTTGCAAACGGCAGCAGCCATTTGTTACAGCAGGAAATCCACTATGGAAAACCTCACATTGAAAAACATTTTGAAATCAAAGCAATAGAGACTATCAAGAAAACAAAATATTTACTGCAAAACATTGCTCCAGTAAAAAGAAATCAGGTAATAATTTACAACTATAAAGCACAATAATGCTTTTTTGTATACAACATTTGCTTTCTTCGTGCAGTCACAAGGCTATCCCTGAGGGTAGCTGCTTGGCTCTGCTCTCACTTGCTTCTCTTCAAGTCAGAAAATAACATCTCTCTTGAGACACCAAGTCAGATTATTCAAGGCCACGGACATCTCTTAAGTCATCTGAATTCAGGGCATATGCTACCAGCTGCTGCCTTTCTACTGACACCACCAGCAGAATCTAACATCAGATGAACATAAAATAATTATCTATGAATGCACAAACAGGGAGCTGAGAAGAAAACCATCTCTATGTGAGGATAAACAAGCTGTAACTCACTGCAGGGACCAACGACAAGAGAAGCAAACGAGCTCGCAGTGGTGTTAGTTAAGTTCAACAGTTCCTATGAATTCTGCACAAATCACAGCATTTCTGACACTTAACACAGAGAAGGGGAGAAAGGGAGAACAAGAATACCACCCCAAATAAAAGAACACCCAAAATAATAGTAAAATAAAAAGAAAATAGGCTGTTTTATTCTTACCAGTCTTGCCTTTTGTGAGTTATAGTCAGAAGCAGAATCATCCTGGTCTGGAAGAACAAGACAGGCAAAGGCCATTAAAACAGTTTACATAATAATATTCTACAAAAATTTCTGAATGTATTTTTACAAAAATATTTAAAATATTATGAGACTTCTTTAAAAATTATACTCATTTTAATTAATAATTTTCAGCATGATGTTTGTTCACTGATAAAACATACCAGGTTAAGTAACTTCAGATGAAACTGCATGTAAGCAGAAATCTGTTTTTCAAACTGTGCCCAGTAAACTCAAAGTAGATGGTGTTTATATTATAATAAAGATGATCTATGATCTTATCTTCCCTAGCATTAATATTTCGGTTTTCTTGTTCTTGTTTCCCCATATTAAATGTATATACACTTAATGATTTTTTCTATGTTAAATATAACTGAGAATCAGTGAAAGAAAAAGTGAAAACTAATGGCATTCAGCATCCCACACAGCTGCAATGCTTTTAACCCCACCTGAACAGCAGCCAGGCCACAAAACAGTAACAGGGAGGAATCTCACTCATTTACTTACTCACTTACTTCCCACCTCACAGTCTCACATTTATCAGACTTGGCCAAAAATGACTAGGAAGGAAGTGGGAAAGCAAACCCATTCTGTACTGTATTTCAGAAGTTAAAAAGCCCAAGACTGCTCTTCCCTCGCCGTAACCAGGGGAAATCCCACAGCCCCAGAGGGGAGGCAGGGTACGTAACAGGCAACACAGAGGCTTACACTGCTCGCAGGTAAGCGATGCTCTTCCACGTGTCGCTCCCCCTCAACAGGGAGGCTCAGCCCAGCCTATTAGGACTATCCTAATGCAGGGGAGGAACCCTCCGGGAAGGTGGCAAATTACTTTTCACCACCTCAGTCACTCCCAGGAAGGCCAGGCCTGAAGACAACCCAGCATGTTCCATTTGGACATTAAATGAGTTCAGAGCTTGTAGCTAAGGCAGGAGATTGTACAGATGGACTTGTTTGCAACTGCAGTGTCACATTGCAGATACACGTGCAATAGGTATTACTATGTAGGCACATGGAATACTCTCCTGCAATTTTATCAGCTTGTATGTTACAGTCAAAGCTGACTTCTTTTGCACAAGTGTAACTATTAACTTTGGAGATGTTCAGGCAGTTTCCATGAAACCTGCTTGGCTCCAAAACACCTTTGAAAACCAATCACACAAGGGCAGCAGTATCTCAGGCTGCCTGACTGATCGCTAAGTCTTGTTGAGCTTTGGAGTTTACCAGTGCACAAGAAAGAGCCTCTCCACTTATTTTTCCCTGCTCCTGCCACGCACAGTGTTTTATTCGGTCAGGATGGCCTCTCCGGAGCGACCCGGCAGCAGCTCATCCTGCAGCCCCAAACAAGCTACGCTCCCGACAGCAGCCCCTGAAGCGCCACCTCTCAAGAACACGGATTGCTGAGGCTTTGAAACAGCCAACCCAGCCCTGTGAAAACCAAGAGGGCTTCCATCTTCACCGTCACCCTCAGCAGTCAGAGCTGCAGGGAAGCCACACGGACAGCAATTCAACTACAGCAGTTCCAAAGCCACATACTTCTTCAGGAAGAATGGGGAGAATCACAGCAAGGATCTTACCTGCTAACAGTTTATTACAGATCCGCTGAGGATTGTTTATTGCCATACAGTCTTCTTTGGAAAAAAGCAGCCAAACTATATATATATATATATATATGTATATGTGTGTGTGTGTGTGTGTGTGTATATACACATATATACATTTTAATGTGAAGCAGTAGTTATATTACATCTTGAGAAGCAAAGAGAAACAGTCAATCATACTAAGAACAAAAGTGTCGTTTTTCCCCCCATCTAACACTATTCAAGACACAGAACTGCAGCATTTGGGCGTTTTCCTCTTTTGTACTTAAGTTCTGACAGGAAGTAAATTTCAGGGAACTAAAACCAGAGCTTGCAATTTTTTTTTTTTTAAACTTTTATCAAATGGGGAAAAAAAATAAAAAAATAGAATCACTGAGAGTATTTTGTATCTTTCTTTCCTCACCTTCTGTGTCTTTTCTCACTCGCATTCTGTCAAGCTGCTTCTGCTGCTCCCTCAGCAGGGCCTGCTGCTGAATCTCTAGGGTCTGATCATCTTTTGGAGGATCAGGATACATTTGCCTCAAGCCTATGCGTGTATCCGAATCTAGTGTAAAGACAGGAAAGTTATATTTGGCATAAGATAGTGTTTCTGAAAAATGTTTTTAAAGGACTAGCTACAAACACATAAGAAATATTATATATAATGGTGATGATGACCAAGGATCTGAGCCATCTTAACAACAGTCTTAAGACAATGCTATATACATTTCTGCTGGCAAAGGAGAAAAGCAAAAAGCTTCACAGAATTGTATTTTGTTGGGGGTGAGGGGGAGGCACGGGAAATAAACCAACAGGGCTTTTAACATGCAGTGGGCATAACACGAAACACAGCCAGGAACCAAGGATAGGCCCCTGGCAAGGGCTCCCCAGGTGCCAGTGAGGACAGTGGTGCCCAGTGTCCTCCAGACCCACGAACGTGGCGGGGAAGGACTCCAGCTCGCAGCCCAGCCGAGGGAGGAGCTGCCTGCTGTGTGCAGCCAGCTGCCAAAGCACTGCATGAATCCACACTGACGAGGAACTTAGGAGTACTTTGGGAAATTAAAAATATAATAATTCATTCTATGTCAGTTTGGCACACACCACTAACAGACCACATGCTGTGTGCCAAAGGAGGCCACTGCATGGGCTGCAGGGCTGCTCATCGCCGGGAAATCAGTGACCAGCAACAGCCACCATCTCATGCTGCAGGATCTCTGGGGCATTTGTACAAGTGCACACATGGGGTTTTGTCCACAGACTGTTTTTCACAGGCAGCAGGTGAGAGGTGGCCGATTTTGTTTTGCTTTAATATCCTGATCAGTGGGGAAGCTGAAGGAAGGAAGCAGACTTTTCTCTATCTTTCTTGAACAGATAAGAAGATCTACCTGCCTTTGTATTTAAGTTCATTAAATTCCCAGATATTCTGTATATTGACAGGCTCTTGGGCATCCTTTGATGATGGCCGCCTCACGGGAGCCTGCAGACGAAGCCTGGCCATCTCGAAGATGTCCTTGGGGTTCTTCTCCCTCCTCCTGCTTTCGAAGTGTTCAGGGCAAGCAGGGTGCAGTTAGCAATTGCAACATTCATGAGTCACACAGAAATATTATTTAATATAATATATATTTATTTAATAATATTTAATATAATTAAGTTCAGGTCTTTTACTTATGCACTGTATTTATCATTCCTTAAATAAAGCTATTGAACCTGGAACATGATTTTAAAAATAATGCATGTTGTGCTATAAAAGGGTTGACCTATTTAAATAAAGAATACTCCTAGCGAGAAGACTCCAACTAACTGCTATGGTTAGAATAACATTTTGGAAGTAAACACAAGACTTAAACAAAAAAAAATGATATTCTAAAATAAATTACTTTTGTAGCACTACGTTATTCCCCAGATATAGTACTTTCCAGACCCAAATTATGGCCTAGGAAAGAGGGAAAATGAGATGAAATCCTGCCTTAAACAAGTGTCCAGTACAGTGTATTACCAAATCAGGAGGTGCCAGTACAGCCACTCTTGTACTAAAATTAGTGAGACTGGTGAAGAAATTGGCATATCAGATTTTTTTTTTTTCTAAAAAAGTTGTGTTTTTCAACTTTTATTTCACTTGTGTATACTATGTACCTAATACCACCTTTGAGGCACTGCACAAAATGTAACATCTGGAACCGAAGAGGCGAGCCTCACCGTGTGATGGGGACGTCATCATCACTGGCCACGTTCAGCAACTGCTCCTGGAGCCGCCTCTCCTCGCTCCGAAGCTGTTTCCTCATCTCTGATAATTCATTTATCACATTCATTCTTTCCTCTAAAATGTAACACCAAGAACTTAAAAATGTAAGTGCCAGGAACACTATTTGTTTCTCCTACGTCATATGTTTAAGGTGGAAAAAAACAAGATAAATTGTTAATTAGGACAATGATTATATAAACACAAGAATCCCAGCATTTCGGTATGCTAGAAATCAGGGCAGAACTAGTATTCTGAGATATCACAAGGTCTAGATACCACACAAAGCACACAAACCTAAACAGAAAGGCCCTGCTTAACAATCACAGTAACATTTTGTAAGACCAGTAGGTAAACAGTCTTACACTAATACTACTAATACTACTAGAGCCTTATATTAATTTCCTGAGATCACCAGTGTCTACAGAAGCCCTCATGGAGTCCCACGGTCAAAAGGCAGGAAATGGGGCGGTATCAGCAGGCACACAACCCCACTTCCATTTCCCAATTCTCACTGGAAGGTTTGAAGGAGCAACTGGAGTTTGCTCTGCGCAGTCTCCTCCCTCGGCACTCAGGAGCTCAGGCTTCAAAAAGGACCATAATTTCCACGTGCGTTTTCAGTCTGGGCTCACGTTGGCTTTTCAGACTTACCTGGGGTCTACGCAAGCTGCTTTTTTGTGGTCAGCATTCTCCCACAAGTCAGTGTTCTAAACTGGTTTGCTTAAGAACATGCTTAATAGTTGCTAAAATATCAAATTATCTTTTTAGTTCTGAGCCCACATAGCAGACAATCAAGTTTTATTAGCCTAAATACTTAAATACAAGCAGTGACTCATGTATCTATATCTTCTCATGATGACTGGTCTGAAACAAGCAACAGCAGGAGCTATTTTAAGAATCACTTTCTTTTGCATTCATTGGTTAAGAGAAAAATCTCCCCACAATGGGCCCAGGTACTGACTGATAAGAGTTAAGAAGTAAATACGAAATCAGAGCTACTAATGTTATGTTCTAGGCAACCTATGGTATCCTTTATGTTTGTAAATTAGCATAAGAAAAATAACTGCTTTCCATCCACGCACTGCCATTATAACTGGCATTCAAGGAGTAAAGGAGGCCCTCCTGTCAAGTCTGGGTTCTAAAACCACCACTAAAGCAAAAGGAGCAAGCAAAGAATTAGGCAGATTAACAAAGGAAAGCAGAATGGATAAGTCTGGAATGAAATGCACTATACATTGTTAGCCTGATTTATTACTCTGCCAATGCAAAACTCTTCCATACGGCACATTTTGTGGTGCTCTGATCACAGCAGTTAATCTGTCCTGACTGAAAGATTTCAGTGCTTTTCTTGGAAACTATTCCACTTGCAAAGAGTTTTAAGAGAAAGAAAAAAAACACTCATAAAGACATATAAATACTTGTATTTATGATTATATTTATACATACTATACTAATCCACTCATTAACTAATAGGGAGCGAACACCTACATAAAAAATCAGGTTTTTTAAGACTCTCCTTTGAAAGCAAGAATGAGAAGGGAGATTTGGAAATGAGTTCATTAACAAAAAAGGGAGGCTGCAGGAAGAGGCTACCTACCGAACGCCCGCAGCTGGTTCCTTCTAGCAGGGACTGGTGGAGAAGGAGCCCTCGGTGCTGGAGGATCCTAGTGGTTGTAATCAGATAAGAAATGTTATCTAAGCGCTCAAGTGCTCTCAGGACAACTCAACTCAAAGCCTTGGTGAGGCTAGAGAGAAAGACAAAGCACCTCAAGACTTAACTTTTTGTACCTTTAGAAATATAAAGCAATACACGTACAGCTAAGCATCAACATTACTTTTTATGTTTGACCTGAGTTCTTTTCTGAGTGAAGACTGAATTGCCAGGTTCAAAGTAAGCTCTCTTGTCCTCATCCTGGAATCCTTAAAGCTTGTGGTAAGCTGGACAGAGAGCACCTCAAAAACAAGGTGGTCATCACTATAGAAAACATGCTGAAAGTTTTTGAATAAAAATAAATTTAAAAAATGTTTTGCTTGGTATTTTGGAGAAAACAAATCATTTTAATTTCTGACCAAGAAAGCTGGCTGATACAAAAACGTATCTTCAGTTATTCATGATATTCCAGTCATAACTGACAAACAGGAGAAGCTTGACAGTATTTTACATATTTTAGCATTTTAACTAAACCAGTAAATGTTGGCTATAAAAGAAAAAAAATCATACTTGTGCATAAGAAGATATATGGCTTTCAGCAGAGGAAATTCTGTCTTCTTTTCTTATTGATTTGTTCTGAAGAGCAGGATAGTTTTGCTTCACCTTTAATTGAGATATATTTTCATCTTGCTTTCAACTTAATAAAATGTTATGGTTTATTTCATGACTTCTAATACATCCAATTTTCTTTTTTTTTTTCTGTAATGTAGCTTAAACAGAAATTTAAATTATGTGCCCTCTTTTACTCCAGTTTCTTCTACTGTATTTGTTGTACAGTGAAATGTTGTCCAGAAACATAAGAGAGAGCCAGAGGGAGTGTCCATCAGCATTCCGTGATGGACTTTTTACACATTCCAGGGCAAAGGAAAATAATTAAATTACAAAGAATATCACCTTTAAAGATAAGCAAGCCTCTAAATTAAATTTATTTGTATTTAGACCTCATCATGGCCATGGTGCTTTAGCACAAATATAGCGGATTAAAAAGAAAGAAAAAAAAAACAAACCCTACAGAATGCAGCTTACTCAGGCTTAGCCCATGCCTACCTTTTATTTTTATTTATTTTTTTTAATGCTAACAGACTTTTCCACTATAGTAAGATTTTTTCCCCCCCAGTTAGCAGTCTGCAGGCGTGTGCTAGGTATTCTGTAGCTAAAGTGCCTAGGAGAACAATACTGAAGGCACATCACAAAAAAATCTGCAACTTCTTTAAATTTCAATTATCTTTAAAAGTCGGGAAGAATTATTCGTCAATGATTTAGAAAGTCATTGAAACATACCATCTTTTTCTCTTCTTCCATCTTTGCAATTTTTTCTCTCTCATAATATTGTTTAAGTAGTTCATCTTGCTTTTCCTCCTCCTCTTTTTTTCTTTTTTCTGCCTCTTTTCGCCTCTCTTCAGCTAATCGAATTATTTCTTCATTTTTCAATCTTTGCTGTAATGAAAACATAATTAGTGGATGAAAAAATTCAGCACTTTTAAATGTATCTTTGTTTTTATTTGAGAAGTTGAAAGTACACATCAAAGTGCTTAGTATGAAACGAAAAACATTAGACTGATTTCAAGCATTCAAATTAAAAAATATGCCATGCAGACATCAAACATCTGTCATTCTAGCCCTATTAGCATCAGCTAAAGCTAAACTGAAAGAATTATTTCCAGTGGTTCAGATTCAAATAAAACATAGTGCAAACCTGCACTATCCTATCATAATCCCACAGAGAAAAGCAGCCTCTGGTCATGCTTTTACTCCTATGTCTGAAAAGCAGTGATGTTGGTTAGGTTGCCCACACTACACTAGCTCAGTTCTGTTATGCAGATAAAGATAAGATTGACTCAGCTAGCTTGTTCCCACAAAAGAGCAGGTGAGAATAAAAGCCAAGTGTTCTGTCTCAGAACCATGAAATATAATCATTTGCTTAAGTTTTTTTTCCCCATCCCCCAAAGTAAGTGATATCAAAAAAATGCTCTCTGAAATCTTTCTATATTATTACATTCAGAATACAAGCAATTCCAGAAAGGACCGGATTTAAGAAAATAGAAGCACACATGCATATTTTTTGTTAGTTTGGTAAAGCTTTAAGCTGTTTGCTTTAAATTGAAGAGCACCAGTGCTGATCATAAAACGACACTATTTTTCTTATAAGAATTAACAGTATTTCAACTTAAAAATATACCAGATAGCATATTCACCTCAATCTAATCAGTAGTGATTTTCCATCTCTCCTAAAACAGCCTTTTTTGTAATAAAGAGAAATCCACAGTATACTGCTCAGTTTCATCCTCTTCTAGAAGACAAAATCTTACAACTGAAGATTTTTAAAAAGTCAAGATATCAAAATACCATACCTCCTCCTCTTTCTTTCTTTTCTTCTCCTGTTCATCTTCATACTCCTTTTGAATCCTCATCCTCTGTTCAGCTAGCCGTTTTTCTTCTTTTTCTTCTTCCATTCTAAGTTTTTCTCGCTCTGCTTCTTCCCTGAGCCTCTTTTCCTCAATCTAGAAAATAGAGAAAAAAAAAAAAGCAATTGACTGTCAACAGCCAGCAATAATCAGATAAACGACATTCACCACTGTGTTATTCTGGGGATTCTTGTAATCTCTACTAGTGAAATCAAAGGTAGTAAAGAGCAGCTGAAAAGTTCTGGGCAGCACTGTGCATGCAAAAAAGCTTAAAATCATCTTTTTTTGAGAGCGTTTCACATTAAACTACTGTGTAACTTTTCTGCTCCTTAACTTATCTAGATTTCTTTGATATTTAATTCTTGTGGCAGAAGCTTATAGTCAAAGTATCATAACACTGACAGAAACTAGTAGAACAATCAAGTTTTATATCAAGTTTCAATATTTACACTGGTAGATATTAAACTCACTACTCATATGCATTTGTATGATGTTGACTTGTAGAGAACAAATGTCTTTCTTTACATGTTTGTGTATGTAAACTTAAACCGTAGGTATAGTCCAAGAGCTCAGAATTTCAATTAAGAGAGTTATTTTTAGGAAGAAAAAGACAGAATCTAGATTAATGAAGCCAGCTACTAACAG